CAAAGGGTCTGAGGCAGTGGGGAGAGAATTGTTCAGAAACCACAAATGGGCTTCCATGTACCTTCTAAGTTGGACAACAGACAAGACTCTCTGAGAGCAGAGTCCACTTTGAAAATAACTTCTTCATGCCTTCAAATTCCAAGAATGCAACTGCAGGGCAGCCAGGCTCACTGGGGAAAATAAAATATTGACTCTTCTTATAATTATTTGAATAAAAATATTTAGCCTTATACTTCACATTTCTCTTTCTAGTGAAACTTTAAAAAATCAAAGTGTCAGGCTTTTACTCAATAACCCTCCAAAGTGTGCTGGGTGAGGAGAACGTGACTGTCGGTGCCACCGGTGTGTGGCTTCACTGTAGAGACAGAAGGACAGATGAGATTTTAAAAAAAGAAAAAGAAAAGAGAAGAAAGAAAAAGAAAAAAGAGAGACAAAGAGACACAGAGAGAAAGACAGAGAGAGGGGGGGAGAGAGAGATTTTGTCTTTGTTATTGTTGTTTTTCAAGACAGAGGTTCTCTGTGTAACAGTTCTGGCCTTCCTAGAACTTGCTTTGTAGAGCAGGTTGGTCTTGAACTCACAAAGGTCCTCCCTGCCTCTGCCTCCTTAGTGCTGGGATTCGTCACCACCTCCCGGCAGATTTTTTGAAGACACCTTTCTAAAAGTAAGAATCTGTCTTTTTAGTTAATAAGGGAGCTGCGTGGTAAAAGCTTGGACCCTCTAGCGCTTCTTCCCTGCAGGGTTTCCCAGGCATTTCCGAGGGGTACCTCAGTGAGAGACGATCAGCATCGGTCACCCCATCCCAGTCTCAAGGCCCGCCCATTTTCAGCTTCCTATGTCACTAGAGCTTCCCTTCTGGCAGCCTGGGCTCTGGGAACTGTGAGCAAATCTACCTATTTTGTAGATTCCAAAAGTGGATTCCAAAAAGGATGCAATGGATAAGGAAGATGCGCTTGGCCCTGGAATCTTGGGGAGGAGAGAAGGGGGCTTAGGGATGACTTGTCTTCTGGTAATGAGACTGCTTTTTTTTTTCTTTTTTTGCAAATGAACCAGAAAGCCCCCAAATCCAAGTTCTTTATCTCGGAGCATTAGACAGAAAGCACTGAGCTGATTTCAGTACCTTAAGACAGAATCTGATTTGTGCTTTTGGTGCTTTTAGAAATAAGGAGAGTGTTGAAAAATTATTTCACTGCCATTTGAAACTTTGGTGTCCAACAAATGCCACCATTTTTACGTCCCTCAAACTGTTTTCAGGATATTGGTTAAAAACAAACAAACAAACTCTTGAGCAAAGGTCCTGATTTCCTTGCCTGTTGGCTCTTTTTGGCTTTGTTAACCTTTGAAGATGTGTTAAGATTTCACATTTTCATACTTGTATTTAGGGGCAGTGTGTTTGTGCTGTAATGGGATCTATTGAGCCTTGGACTTCGTGGAGGTAGTTCCATCCTTTCTTTAGCAGAACTGTCCATCCCTAAGCCTGTTTTGCCTGGCAGTGACCGGACTTCATCTAGAATAGTAACTTTCTGTTCCTGTCACAGCAAGTACCTTCCTTAGAATGTCCTCCAAACAAATGGCTTCTTTAGTTTCTGATAAACTGTCCAGTGATTGTTTTTACTCTTAAGAGCCAGCCAATTAGGAGATAACATTGCACACTTCATTAATATCCCAGGGTGTGCCTCAATTTGGGGGACTATGGGGAAAATTCTTTCTCATCTTAGTTGGCTCTTTTTTGGGGGGAGGGTCCACATGCTCTTTCAGAAGTCTCTGGAAATGTATTTCTCCAGGGGAATTGGCAATTTGCCCAAAGGGCTGCCATGCTGGGGACTCTGTAACAGACCACTCTACGTTTGTGGCATGGCCAGCATAGATCTTATACAGTGAGTTACAGGAGTGGTCTAACCATCGTTGGTAGATGAATGCACACTGGCACCCACTGGTGTCTTCACTCAATTGTACCCACTATGGACCAGAGACCAGACAAGGCTCAGTAGCTGCTTTGCCCTGAAAAGTGCGTGCCAACCTGGGGTCACTCATCTCTTCCCGACTCTTTCCTAGTTTCCGTATTGGTCACTCTAGGTAGAAATTTATTTTCTTGCTCTCAGTTTGCAATGTTTCAACCGAGGTGCTGTCCTGCTGACTGCATTTTTGTTTCTTCAGAGACACAGGGGCTGCTAGGAGGAATCGTTCAGGAAGAAGGGTGGCTTTGGGGAGGGGCTCATACAGGCAGGAAGACTCTTAGTTTGCAGATATTCTAGAATCTCCCCCAGGATTCACGCAAGCAGTTCAGCTTTAGACTTCTAGACTAGATCGCGGATGCAGCTTCTCATTGCTGTGTTTTGTTCTTGGGTTGGGGAGCTGTCAGTTGCCCTGGGTTAGGTGGTGGCTTTTCGTGTCTGCTGGGGAAGGATCTCTAATGTAGCTCCTTCTCGCTTTCGCTCTCCCCCTCCCTCCCTGTAACATGCCAGCCCTTTAATGTGGAGTGTCAGGGAGACGGTGACGTCACCCTGCCCGCTGGGTGGCGTCCCCTCCATCGGACACGAGTTCAGAGACAGAGAAAGGCGCTGTCAGACAGCGCTCCACTTGGGGCTCGCTTACTGCGGGTTTCCGCGTGCCCACACTTTCTGCGGCGGAGGGGACACCCCGCCTCAACCCAGGCCCTCATTCTGCCCCCCGCCGGGGTTCGAGCGCCATTAGCTTGCGCCAGCGCGGGGATCTTCGCTCAGCTCGCCTGAGTCCCGCCCGCTGGATTCGAGGACCCGCTTGGATGCTTCGCCTCCGAGCGCCCTCGGAAGATGGGCCGGCAGCCACGCGCCTAAAGACATCGAGGGGTTATCAGGTATGACCCAAACCCGCCCGCCCTGACTCGGCACCCAGTTGGAGGTTGAAGAAATCCAGCTGAGGAGTTTAAGCCGTAGGTGGAGGGGCGGCGGGCCTCGGAAATGATGGGTAGCAGAACCAGAATGAATTTGTGGGTCGTTGACTCATGAGGCAGATGGAGAAGTTTGTCGGGTTCCCTTTCCAGCTCAACTAACTTTTGTCTCTCCTTTCACCCCTCAAAATGTATCTCAACCGAAATCTTATTTGTGTCTCTGCTGATGGAGTTTCTGGAAGGGTTTATGGGTAAAAGTGGGGGTACATCCAAGAGGAGGCATTTCTCCCGGGTCTTCCTCGCGAAGGTTGCGGTTCCTAACGCAGAACCAACTCAGCATCCGTGGTTCGTGTTTCTAAGAAGTGAAAGTTCGAGTTCTCCCAGGGTCTTATTGATATAATACGGTCTTCTCTGAGAGAAAAAATGAATCTGGGAGGGTCATCCGCCGAAGCTAGGTCTGATAGTGTCAGGCTTGAGTATCATCACGCCTTGAGTGCCATTTAATGCCCTGATCCCTAAAAATATGTCCTCTGATCTGTGAAGTGACTGACACGCCTAGCGATCCTCTCCTTGAACAAGAAGGCTTGTTCGGCCTTCTCGGAGGTCGCAGAGCGCAGAGCATAATGCTAGCTGAAGATCCCGGGGGCTGTAGGTCACAGGAGATCACTCAGAAGTCATGGGGACCCAAAGACGAACATCGTAGTAATCATTTGGTTGAGGGGATTGGTTAGTGTATTCTCTATGATCGCTGTAATAGAATCCAGTTTGCTGCCAGGCGATGGACACTGGTGACTTTTCAGGGCAAAGGGCAGCTTTGGCCTATGCATGGTCCAAGTAGCTACCGGGAGACCATTGCTTTTCCTGGGGAAGGCACCGTTTAACTCCGTTTGACTTACCGTTCTTTTCGCTCTGGTTTCTTTGCTCTATTTTCAACTTAATGGGTTTTTATTTTTACCTATTGGGGTATCGAGCTGGCCAGGTGAAAGCAGAATTTTATTTCAGACTGAACCCATAATCCACTTCCAGTGCGCCCACGATTGGTTACCTAATCTGGAAATTATGGTTACTTTTGGACACACTCTCGACATAGAACAGTGTCGACATCGCCAAGGGGGCAAATGTCACAGAAGTTGACTTGTGTGCGATGGAACACACTTTTTAGTTCTCTACCTGTCCTGATCCCCAAGAACTGTTTCTTTGCAAGCTTTTGGGTTTAACATGACCCGTACCTTGTCTAAAAACGACAGGAAAGCACTTTTTACTGTTTAATCTCTCCAACTTCTTCTTGATCCGTCTACTTGAATTAGACGTCCTTAGCTCAGGAAAGGGGTCTTTGAAAATTTGAAAGCGACATACTTTATTTGAGGGCAATCATGCAGCCCTCAAATTTTCTAATTACAGTAAATAAAATAATACCTAATAGCAAGGATGGGGAAGAAGAGATTTCGTTTTGCTTTAATGAGCAATGTTTCAATCAACAGTGAATCTCACGCCCCAAGGAAACCACAGACACCACAAAAAGCACTTTTCAAAATGTTTGGGTTAATTTTTTTAAAGCAAAATCAATTTTTTTCAGGCACGTCTGAATGATCTCTCTCTCTCTCTCTCTCTCTCTCTCTCTCTCTCTCTCTCTCTCTCTCTCTCTTTCTCTCTCTCTTTCGACGTTAATAGCCAAACCCGAGTTCTTCACGACTTGTGTATCACTAACAACCACAGTCATTTCTTTCTAATTCCTATCGGACACAGGTCTTGTTCCAGCAACCATTTTTTCCCCCATAAATCGGAGATGTCTTGAATTTTTTAGGAATTTGCTGAAACCGATAGATAGGCAGACAGATCGGCGGACAGTATTTACTTGGAACGAGTAAGACGGAAGACAAACTACTAACTCCGACTCGCTAAACTTTCTCAAAGGCGACCTTGAGGGGAATTTCAAAAGATGACCCTTGTGCATCTGAAACTCGCTCAGTTTCCCAGGGTCTTAATCAGGGCAAGGAGCAATTGTAATTTTCAGTTAGTTCTCGTCCCTTCCCTCTGTTCTAAGACCAGAAGGTTCAAGTCAACTTTCTTCTTTCCTTCCCAGTCTCCAAGGCAAACCCGGAGCCCTAAGCCCGCGGTTCTGCAGTTGAGGAGATGGCTTCCAGCCCACTGCCAGGGCCCAACGACATCCTACTTGCATCGCCGTCGAGCGCCTTCCAGCCCGACGCACTGAGCCAGCCGCGGCCGGGGCACGCCAACCTCAAACCCAACCAGGTGGGCCAGGTGATCCTCTATGGCATTCCCATCGTGTCCTTGGTGATCGACGGGCAGGAACGCCTGTGCCTGGCGCAGATCTCCAACACCCTTCTCAAGAACTTCAGCTACAACGAGATCCACAACCGCCGCGTGGCGCTGGGCATCACGTGCGTGCAGTGTACGCCTGTCCAACTGGAGATCCTGCGACGCGCTGGGGCCATGCCCATCTCTTCGCGGCGCTGTGGCATGATCACCAAGCGTGAGGCCGAACGCCTTTGTAAGTCATTCCTAGGCGAAAACCGGCCGCCCAAGCTGCCGGACAACTTCGCCTTCGACGTGTCGCACGAGTGCGCCTGGGGCTGCCGCGGCAGCTTCATCCCAGCACGATACAACAGCTCTCGCGCCAAGTGCATCAAATGCAGCTACTGCAACATGTACTTCTCACCCAACAAGTTTATTTTCCACTCCCACCGCACCCCGGACGCCAAGTACACCCAGCCAGACGCAGCCAACTTCAATTCCTGGCGCCGCCATCTCAAGCTCACAGACAAGAGCCCTCAAGACGAGCTAGTCTTCGCCTGGGAGGATGTCAAGGCCATGTTCAACGGAGGCAGCCGCAAGCGCGCGCTGCCTCAGCCCAGTGCGCACCCGGCCTGTCACCCGCTCAGTTCCGTAAAGGCAGCTGCGGTGGCGGCCGCAGCCGCAGTGGCCGGGGGCGGGGGGCTGCTAGGCCCGCACCTACTGGGCGCTCCACCCCCGCCGCCGCCACCGCCACCCTTGGCTGAGCTGGCTGGCGCCCCTCACGCCCATCATAAGCGGCCGCGCTTCGACGACGACGACGATTCCCTACAGGAGGCAGCCGTGGTGGCTGCAGCCAGCCTTTCGGCAGCCGCAGCCAGCCTCTCGGTTGCCGCGGCCACAGGCGGCGCAGGGCCGGGTGCAGGTGGTGCCGGGGGTGGATGCGTGACCAGCGTGGGCGTGGGCGCCAGTGCGGGGGCTGGTGCAGCAGCTGGCACCAAAGGCCCACGCAGCTACCCAGTCATCCCAGTGCCCAGCAAGGGTTCCTTCGGGGGCGTGCTGCAGAAGTTCCCGGGCTGCGGGGGCCTCTTCCCACATCCTTACACCTTCCCAGCCGCGGCCGCAGCCTTTGGCTTGTGCCACAAGAAGGAAGACGCGGGCGCAGCGGCCGAGGCCCTGGGGGGAGCGGGCGCCGGGAGCACAGGTGCGGCGCCCAAGGCCGGTCTGTCGGGTCTCTTCTGGCCCGCGGGCCGCAAGGACGCCTTCTACCCACCCTTCTGCATGTTCTGGCCACCGCGGACCCCCGGCGGGCTGCCCGTACCCACCTACCTACAGCCCCC